ATTTATACGTCCCATTAAGACTCTTACCCATGCAAAATGGTTCTTCCATGATGTGTCCAGTTCCTTCACCACACACATAAGCTAGAAAAGACACAGGGTATATATTTAAAATATTAATAACTTTTAATAGAAATCCTAAAAAAATCAGGAGGTAGTTAAGCGCACCCAAAAAAAAATAGAAAAGGCTCAAATATTACCTGTTGAAACATGGAGAAGCATCTTTACTGCTGGACATAACTTTGCAAAGTTTAAGACATTTAGAGCTCCCATTGTATTGATAGCGAATGCAACATCATATCTATAAAACAATAACAAAGCTTTATTAAACTTAAACAATGGCAGAAGGTTAGCTTCTTAGACAAAAAATGTGTATATATAATACCTTTCATCAAAGTTAGTTGTTGCAGCACAATTTATCACTATATTTGTGTTTTTCCAAATTTCTGCTCTCAAAGTGATATCTTGTATCCCCAAGTTTTCGCAGGAAATATCACCTGGAACTGGAATCACCTTTTCATGGAAAAATGAATCTATATTTGAACCTAAAATTCCTCTCAGAACACTAAACAGTTCCTTCCCTAGAACCTGTGAAATCAATTGGCTATTCAATCAATTAACAAAAGGAAACGTGCAAAGTATATATGCATAATTATATATGTGCGTGTTCTTTCTATATACAATATGTACACCTCTTTGTGAAGGCGTTGATGTGCGGAGTTGACATCAGCCGCTCTCATGAGAAGATACAACCTTTTGATATTAGGCTGAATTCTCAGTACCTTCTCTACGAAAACTGCATTTATAAATTCAAACCCTTATAAGTACAAGAGAGACAGAAATCAAAGGGGCTGCATAAACATGAAAGGGTGGACTAATATTATATAAAATGTATACCCTTTGCTAAAAATCCAGTTGCACCAGAGACCAAAATGGTCTTGTTTTCAAGGAACTGAACAGCGCTACACAAATCCATGGAGAGAAAAAAAAATGGCAAATGCAACAAGAAAGAAAACTCTATGGCTTTGGTACGTTAGCATGGTGATGGCATATTTATATGAATCATATAAATATTTAAATATTATTTATTTCTTTTTAAGAACATTTCTTTAAATATAATGCCTCTATTTACTCACACCACGTATTTCTTTTCCTTTCTTGTACGTCCCCGTCTGCCTTCTTCTCACTCCTATTCCCCCACGTTAAAGTACTCTGTCCTCTCAAACAATTGGAGGATTCAATGTCCTGCATAATTGCACGTGCCCTCCAGTTAGACAATTTTGAAGTTATACTTTCATCAATATAATTTTGGTTTAATTTTTTTTTAATTTGAAATTTATATTTGTTTAGAAAATATTCTACTTAAATAATTATAAAATTATTATATGTTTAATCATAAATTATATAAGATAAAAGATAATATTCTCTATAAACTTATTCTTATTGATCTTAA